AAAAAAACTTTCAGAATAAGTTGGAAGAATCTTTCGGAGGTAGTTAGAAGATACTACTGAAGGAAGTCTGAAGATTATAAAAAATAGAAGATTAATAACAGAAAAATCACGCATAAATTGAACTTTTTTTCTAACTAAATTTTCGTTAAGGGTTTGTAGGGTATAATAAATAACAAGATTAACGCTTGGAAATCGGTGAAAAAGGCTCATTTTTAAAATAAAACATTTGAAGGTTTTTTTTGCGTTTTACTGCTATTTTAGAAGCAATTTTGGACTTATTTGATTCAGGGTAAACCCTCCTAGAGTTGCGGTACGTTAGAAGCGAAAAGTTCCTATAGTTGCTTATGGAGTCTCCATAAGCAACTATAGGAACGAAACGCTTCTAACGTACCGCAACTACAGGAGTGTTTACCCCAGGGGAAACGACACTTCAGAATTATCCCATTTTTACCCAAACCTCTCATATAATTTTCAACGTGCACAAAATTTCAATCGATCCTATTTATTCTTTCTATTCCCAACTTATCCCTTCTGCATGCACACAAATTGTCAAGCAAGCCGTGCAGTTTCTCGAAGTTTTCAGGTCGACCGCGAGGCACTCTGCCATACTCACTGTCAGTTTACAACACTCTCCACAACAAACACCACGTATGTCAGCTGACCGTGCCGGTAAAAAATCGGTGCGAAAACTAAAAAAAGATGACGGACCATTCGTCTATAATCGGTCTCGAGGGCAAAAAACATCAAGTGCATCAAGGAGGAGACGGCAACGCACATCCATTTCCCGGACTCAAACCGATCGAATTCGACGGATAAGAGCCCGGGTCTCTGTGTGTTGTAGCATGGAAGTTACCGAACAGGCGCGAAGCAACTGTTGATTTCGTTCGAACTGCTGATTCTAGCCCCGGGAAAAGCCTTACCAATGAAACCCCCTACGACAAGCAGGTGGAAAAGGAATTCAGGTCGTTTTTTTCCACTCGGCCTCGGAGCTAATGGTGAAGTAAGACACCCACCGGTGATGTATTTCTGTGCGAGAATATTGCGGATCAAATTCCCGTCCAAATACAGCTGGGAATATTAACTGGAACCTTGTAATCCATCGCCATCACCTGTTCCTCCTACTGTGCAGTCTCGACCTTTACGGTGCGGAACCGTTTTCTGCACTTGAGCTGTGAGCTTTGATTATTATAGTTGGGCGGTGTCCCGAGCGGTGTCCATTGATTCCGTTTCGCTAAAAATCAATATTTTTGACCCCCCCCCCCTTGGAACAAAACGTTACACTGAAAATGACCCCCCTCTATTTATTACGCAACGCTCTATAAACCCCCCTCCCCCGCCTTTTCATTTAATTAATGTTTGATTTCGTTTTGTATTTTTTTTTATTTTTAGGTAATTAGTTATATTATTAATATTCAAAACAAAAACAAAAGATCAGCGTACCATCGAGTACCTCCTTTTCAAAAGTTCAAGATAGCAAAAATCTCAATTTATAAAATTAAAACAGATCCATTTTGTAAAGCAAGATTTAGTGATGATAGCCTTCGTTGTCGTTGCCAAAAACGTCAAAAAAGACCTGTATTTTCAAACTTTACATCAAGAAACGAAAAAAAAAACAAAATGTTCTCTTTTTTACGCAACGCAAAGCTTTACTACTCCTCCCCTATGTATAATTCGTAACGATATAGGTGACCCCCTCTTCCCCTATAAGCGTTACGTAATTCATGGACGCTTCATTGCAGCAAATTTTTCTTCTTTTTACACCTATCCTCTTCGCGTTCAGACTCGTATCCCTCTGAAATTTTTTAACATCCCTCACATCACATCAATTCTCGCGTCACTTTTCAAATCGACCAATGTAACAAATGTAAACAAACCGAATTAAACGATACAAATTGTTGCTCTTCTATCATTGTATGTCATACAAAAACATCCATCCAAATTCACTTTCATTTATTTAAGATAATCATAGGTAAAAAATTGTCCAATGTACAGTTTGAAATGATGGGTATATGATTGTTACTTCGGTCATTCGGACTGCCTGACATGATTGGTGCTCATTTTTCAAAGGCGGGGCCAATCTAAAGTTAGGTACTATACTCTGAAATCTGTGAAAGGGAATCTAGTATCATGTAGACAAAACGTCCAATGTAACACTCATTGATTATGTCATTGAGAAAAATCGTCCAATGTAACATGTCCGATGTACAACTCTACTTGTCAAAACGTCCTATGTGGTTTTTTCTATGTTGTAGCATGAAATTCAAAGTAAAATTGTGATTTTACCGTTTCTTCTGAATTTTCAACTTTATTATACACTGGCTACATTAAAAATAGTATTGCAAAATGTATTGTTTTTAAACAGTTAAATTAATAATCTGTCGAACTTCAACTTCGATTTTCTCAAAATGGTGGATATGTTACATTGGTCTATTTGAAAAGTGACGCGAGAATTGCCTGATCTATTCCCATCTATTTTTTTCTATCCCTGCTCTATTTTCGTCAACACGACACACTCAAAAAAATCTCATCAATTATGTTTTTCCCCGAAAATCCTAAGTAATTACTAGACTGAAAAAATACATCCAAATGAGTGTCGTTCCCCCTGGTTTACCCTAGCTTATTTATGAAATACCCAACAGAAGATCGCAATCAATGAAAGTTTGAGAACTGCTGTATATGATTATTTGTGTTGTTTTAATTAATCAACAAAGGTGTGCAAATATTACGCCTCATGATATTAGCAATCTAGGAAAAACTTATCGTACTAAGCAGGTGTTTGGTTGACCCTCACATCGCATTCAATAGGACTGTAATGAATGTGTGCTGCAATTAAGTTTATTTCACGAGGAGATTACAATCCGGACAGCTTCTAATGAACACTTCAGTCAACAGTTGCCAGTTAATAGTTTCCCACAATATAAAAACGGGAAATTCACTGTTTAGTGATAATTTTGTTTCGCAGTTGAGTCGGATCAAGATAGGATAGATATTCCAAATTTGATAGATAGCTTCTTTTCTGGAATGAGAGAATCGACAAACTTTTATTATTAGCCAAAGCAGTAGACTCTCATCTGATATTCTATGGCCAAGGAAGTCCATAAATTATACCAACTGCATCACTTTTAATGACTAAGCCTTCGGAAGACCCAAAATACAAGTAAGCTCTGAGTAAAATTAAGGCAGTATATTCGCATTGAAGTACTTCCAGTTGGCCATTAGAGTGGTCCAAAATATCAATTTTCTCCACCAAGCTCAATCGATTTTAAATCATGTCTCAAAATTGGAGCTCATTAGAATGCGAACTCATACTGCGCTGGCCCTTTGAAGTTTATATGGGGATTACTATGGGATAAGTGAACTTGTTGTTCTCATTCGCTCTTCTCTGTAATGAGCTACGGAATAGTTTGCTACTCATGTGAAATTTTCCCAGCTACAACTTTGCTCAAGAAAGCATTTTAAATAAACGTCAGAATAATTAGTGAATAATTGATAACGAAGATGATGTTCTTCCGACATGCTCCATCAACTGCTCAGCAGGCAACAGTAGTCTGCTTGGCGCAAAGAATAGGGTCAAAAATCCAGGCTACTATATGTCATGGTGCAAGATGCTGTGTTGCCCTGAAAGCAGTCGATTAATCATATCAGAAAGTTATCGGCTTTTTAATCAATTGATAACTAATTAATTTGAAGTTTAATCAAAAAGTTGTCATTGTTTCGTGAATCATTATGGCGACGGACTAGGACATTGAGAATAAAAAGTTCACTTTTCCCATTTTAATTTCCACATTAACTTCCAAGGGCCAGTATGAGTTCGCATCCAAATAAACTTAAATTTTGGGAGAATGATAAAAACTTGATTTAGAATTGATTGAGTTTGGTGAAGCAAAATCTTTATTTTGAACCACCCTATTGGCCATGTTTTCAAGATGTTTCCCATTAATGTTAACGAATTCTATAGGCTTATTCGAGAAATGTTAGTTTGCAGGGAGGACAATATAATTATCGCAATCAGAACACCATTTTTCCCACCTTCAACATCAACAAACCACACGCGCCTGCACATCAATGCGGAAAAGCGTGTCGCTCAAGTTGAGCCTCTCGATTAGCCTAGACCTTGACAGGAAAGGCGGCGACGCCACACTGTATCGTGCGCCGCCTGACTGCTGCTCTGCTTCTGTGCCTACTGTGAGCAAGCGCGCTCGCTCAGTAATTAACACATAATCGCTTGCTACGATGAATACTCGTTTGTAATTAAAATCTTAGCAATATGTTTAATTCATTAGGTAGGTGCTTTGCTACGTTGGTTCTGCGTTCTAAACTTGGTACTTTTCCGCAAAACAAATACAAAATTCCCAGCCAGAAACGAAGAGATATGATGAAAAATTGCATCGCTTAAGAGCAAAAACCATAAACTAGTCTACCTTGAGAGGGTGAGGAAAGGTGCAATTGCTGCAATTGCAGTGCTACATTTAATGACAGTAATCTGCACTTCCTCGGAACTTTGTATTAAATGACATGGCATTTTAGAAGTAGGAACGATGAAATACGATGCTATATGAAACGCTAAGTGTTTTTTTCCTGATTGGATCATGAAAACTGTTGGATCTTCTTTCCAACGTTTATATCAGTTTTAGTCATTGACAAATGAAAAACATGAAATGCAACCAAAACCGAATGAGTTTTAGATTGAGCCACCCATATTGAGCCACAATAGATAGTCAAAAAGTGAATACAATAGCTGCCTAAAGCGCGAAATTGGTTTGGACCGTATCAAATTTAAACTAGCGTCAAATACGTAAAAAGTAAAGGCTATGTGAAGGTCACTAATTTTTATTTTTTTCTCTGATGTTGACACGCGAAAGCATGATGATCAATCACTTAATTGAAGTATCAAATAAGTTGGTCACCCAATTTACTACGATTCTGATTCACGTCACAAACCTCAATATTTAACCATGACGATCAATATTTATTTCCCTCGTTTGCTTTGTTACTTTCAGATGAGAAATCCCTCCACGTCCCCATCGACGATGACTCGTTTCTGCTCAAGTTCCTTCGACCGTGCAAATTTTACCCGACCAGTGCGTTCGCTTTGGTGAGTCAAGCTCGACGGTGACATCTGCCATCAAGTCCTCTCTATCTAGAACCATTTTCGAATCACCTCATTAACTCCCGCACCCCGGAAGCTTCAGTCAATTATTCTCCGTTTTTTGTTTTGGTTTAAATTGTTTTACAGATTCAACGTTACTATCGTTTCAAACAAAAGCATGCTAAGTTGTGTGATGATTTAGTACCGGCCACGGTACAACACGTGTACGACGAAGGACTTCTGTATTTCCAACCGCTGCGAGATCAAAATGGCTGCCGGATCCTGGTACTGGAAGTGGGCAGTAAGTAATTATAATGTCACTATTCTATTCTAATATTATGAAACGGGAGGGCGGAGGTACACAATAGCACAAAAGACTTGTTTGATTGGTTCCTGCATATAGGTAGGTGACGAACCCTATTATCAAAGTAGGCCAACTTCTACCGGATGTCGGTTATCGATAAACAGTTCTGAGAAATCGATCCACTTACGTTAAATGATAGGCCATCGGTATGAAATTACACCACCCGAGACAGTCGCCAAGCAAGGCAGCACGTTCCTTCTACTGTGTACTGCGAATGGCCTTGAATTCGATCGCAAACAGCAGACAGGGCAATATTGAACATTTGAAGGCAAAATAAATCCAGCGAACCGTACATTCAACTTCATGGTGATGAGCCTTTTTTTTATTGGGAGAACAGTAGGCTTGGAATGGCAAGTGATGAGCATTTATTGTAGCATATTGTTTACTCAGTAGATGGCGTTTTTTTTTATTTTATATCTTCAATAGTACCTGATGGTAAATTCTTGTTGCGTGGCGTTTGTAACGGAATAATTCTCGCGTAACATTTGAAAAGGGCCTATCCTCGTTGATCGATTATCTTCATCGACTTTTTCTTTGGTTTTCCACGGCAACATAAACGAATTTCTCGCTAAGCTCGCAGCACAGTTCTACAGAAAATGATGTTGGCTTGCACCTAAAATAACACACTCAAAGGGAAATGCATTTGAGTTGGGTTATTCGCGAAAAAGAAAATCGATGAAGATAATCGATTAACAATGATAGGCCCTTTTCTCGTGTTGCGCGAGATATTCTTAAATTACATACTGACAACTGTCATCTATCTACTTTAACGTTCTTATACTAATTGTTTAAGGAAAACTATTTGTGACTGAGTAGCTCTCCAATCAGAGTTCAAAACAGGAAATGAATGACAATTACCAATGCCAGCCACACCAATCTTCTCCGTTACGGGGAAAGGAAGGATATTGTTGATGGAACATCTACTTGAAGTACCTGATGATAAATGCTTGTCATCGGCAAAAATGTTGGCAAGAATAATAAGGCCAAAAATCCAGCCTACTATGTCACAAGTGTTGCCTTGAAAGTAATCGATTAATCATAGCAGAAAGTTATCGGCTTCTAAATCTTCTTCTTCTTGTTCGCATTTCAAGCTTATTGCTTAGCGCATATTAGCTTATTACGTGCTCTCAACTTAGTGTTCTATAAATGCACTTCCACAGTTATTAATTGAGTGCCTTCGATGCCAATACCAATGCATGAATTTGTATATTGTGTGGCAAACACAATGATACTCTATGCCCAGAGAAGTCGAGAAAATTTCCCACCCGAAAGATTCCCTCGACCGGACTGGGAATCGAACCCACCGCCTCCGGCTTGGTAATACCGTGCCTTTACTGACTAGGCTATGGGCCCCTATGGCTTCTAAATCTATTGATAACTAATTAACTTAAAGTTTTATCATTTTGATCAGGACTTTTGGGGGTTCCCTTAGCTCAGTTGGTAAAGGCGCAGCTACAAAGCAAGACCATGCTGGAGGTGGCTGGATTCGATTCCCGGTTCGGTCTAGGAATTTTTCGGGTTGGAAAATTTCTTGACTTCTCTAGGCTTATAGAGAAATATTGTACTCGCCAAATCATTTCATTTACACTCAACTTAGCTGAAAATTAAGACAACCTTAGCAGATAGACGAACTACATGCATGAATTTGAATTTTGACATAACAACATTCTCTTGATCAAAGCAACCTCTGAGTATCGAAGTCAACATTTCTAGACAGAGCTGGAATTAGGGCGTAACAGCTTTTCTGAACAATGACTTCTATCGATGATTTCTCGGAATTCAAAGCACGCCCCCGCAAACCAACATAACCAACGGGTAGGGGAAGTTTTCCCCTATCCGATGGTGATGTTGATTTGAGTGGGCAAGCCTTGACTTTCTAGAAATCATCGAGAGAAATCATTGTTTACAAAAGCTGTTAGGCCCTAGTTCCAGCTGCATCTAGATTTGATTTTCTTTATTCTGTTGTTGTCTCTGTAGTACATATTAATATTCGTCTTCATCTTGGTGGGGATGATTTTGAGGATCAAATGCAAAATAATTATTTTCATTTTATACAAACATTGCGCTGAAGAACGGGCCGTGTTGGGTTTCACACAGATCGATGGCAAATTATTGTCTCATGCTGAATTGATGATAATATCGAGGTTTTAGGCTCTGAGGTCGAATAATCATTTTGCCCATAATGAATTTGATTATTTTACTTTTGAGGATCGATCCTGATTTTGACAATTTTGGGTTTGATAATCAAGTACTGGTGATTATCAACAAACGCGTACTCGTTGATGTATAATGAACTCACTTGTTTATTTCGCTCGTTCGCAACAGCGAAAATTTTCAAAACAAACGCAATTCATCTACACTGAGTTGAAGCGCTACTCTTTGCGGGTGATGGTAAATGATAAAAACAGACACAGCTTGCCACACAATAATACTAATGCAAACTTTGTACAGGCATCGAAAGTATAGTCGCCATATTCATAGTCTGGCGGATAGAATTTCGATCCATCAAAAAGCGGAACCAATTCAATATATTGCAGACCAACAATTGAAAAGGTAGGTACTATCAACTTTTATAAACAAAACGTTGATTATTCTTTCCTCGCCAATCGAAGTCACGAGAAACCGGTGACCGAAATTTCGTTCGCAATAGCTGATGTGCTCTTTTCTGTTGTTGGTCGTGATTTGCTCGATTGGTTCCGCTATTTGACAGCTCAAGTGGTTCCCGAGATTCTATCCGCCAGACTATGAATATAGCGAATAGAGATTTTCACGTCCGGTTGTATTGGTGCGATATGTGAGAACGTGTTAGTGAATATCCGAGGAAAATACATAACAAATCGATGTCAAACTCATTTTGACAGATCTACTTTCATACATTTTATAGGTTAGCCAGAGAAAAATAATAAACAACGGCGTTGCTCCCGCTAGTGTGCGTTAAACGTCACTAATCTCTATATAATCGAAAGCTCTCTGGAAGTGAATCAAGAACACTAAGAGCACCCGCAACAATGCTTTGCTAAAGCTATTTTAGCAACCTACACCATAACGCAGTAACCGCACTAGGGGTTGCTATTCAAGTGCAGGAAATAACAATCTGCCTCTTGGTGAACAGCGGGTTGACAAATATAGCAGCGCGATAGCAACCGGCCCAAGCGTTGCTATCTATGAAATGTTTGTTTTGTTTTTCATTTGAACATTGTGATATATTAATAAAGTTTGATTTGGGACAAAAATGTGGACCCAAGGGAAGACCCGGAACATCCGTAAATGTGGAAAATTAGTAAAAAAGGATCTAGATTTTTTTTAATCAACTTGTTGTTATGCTGCATGAATTAATTTGGATTTGAAACCAGTATGTGCACTCTGGTGGCCATGGAACGGTCCTTCAAAAGATCCGGAACATCCGTAAAGGGGACCAATTCGTAGAAAACATCATAGAGCTCCGTATTTTTTTTAATCACTTATTTTGATGGTACATTAATGAATTTGGATCTGGGACCAGCATGCGAACTCTGTTGGCCAGAGTTTAAAATTATTGACTGCCTAGGCTGAGTGTGAAAGCACTGCAAAATTTAATCCATTGCTCTGTGCAGACCGTTTGTACCAAACGGTAAAGGACGAGGTAATGAAAGAGCCAACAAAAACATTCAGTCACTTAAATTCGCTCACACAGCATGTAATTGAGTCATTTTTCCATATAAAATGTACGCTTAGTCATTCCAAAAGTTGGAAGGGTTGTATACTAGATACGACCGCAGGGTTGGCGTTGGATAACGTCTGTTATGTGTTGTACTTAATTGTGTATATTATATTTTAGGAATATTCCTTAATAACTCTTTTGCGAAAGTTTGGTGGCCCTGAAAAGGGCCGTTTTGTTGGACTGATGTTGTTGACAATGATGGAACGGGTGACCTTGTTGGACGCTTATATAGTAGAACAGAAAATATCAGAGGTGTCAGATACTCGCATACGTACGTTAAACTCTTTCTTGATAATGTTGTGGCCCTGAAAAGGGCCATTTTTCCAACGCGCTCGGCGTAGTTGCCCTTGCGGAGCAGACGGTGAATACGACCGACTGAGAACTACAGCAGCTGGGCATTCCATGACGGCGGCCCAGTATACCGGAGCACTGGCACCAATGCACTCGGCGTAGTTGCCCTTTTGCCCCCAGGCTCTGCTGCCGCTGCTCTGCTGCCGTTGCTCTGCTTCCGCTGCTCTGGTACTGCTGCTCTGCTGCTCTGCTGCTGGGTCGACGATCGGATAGACAATGATGGAACTGGCGACCTTGTTGGACGCTTATATAATAGAACAGAAAATATCAGAGGTGTCAGATACTTGCATCTGATGTCTCGGTTGGAGAAAGTATAAGAATATAAAAAAAATCAATCGATTTTCACCATCTTTAGACAATGGTTTACTTTTAACCATTTTTTAATAGTTTACAGAATAAAATCAATAGTTTTGAAACATTCAGCAAATTGCTAGAAATATTTCCAATCGATTGATGCCATTATCTCGTAAATCTATCGAGAGACGGTTGAGTTATTATCGTTCAAAATCTTTTAATTTTTCGTAACGCATCCAAAATGACTGTTTTCAATTTTGTACCCCCGTATGTTGCCGAAAGACGTTATCCAACGTCAAAAAATATTGGGTACCATCACGGCAGAATAAACGTGTTGACTGAGCTACTGACTGAGTGCTCGGCTGTCAGTGACTCGTTTACCTCTGAATCATTCAGACTCCCACGAGGCAGTGAATTATGAGGCAGATGGCAGTTCATATTCATATCAAAATGACTCAATGAGTCTGACTGTTTTGCGCACTGCTGGTGGCCACAACCCGGTCTTTCGGGAGGTCCGGACCATGAGTAAAAGTGATAAAATAGATTCAAGAGCTTCGCGATTCACATATTCTGAAGCTACATGCATGAATTAGGATCTAGGACTATCATATGCAATTAGGTAGCGGTGTGGTTCTCTGGAAGATTTTGAACATCCACAAAAGTAGACAATTCGCGTAAAAATCCTAGTTTAATTTGGACTTCCGTGAGGTTTTGAATCTTTAATGTTTCTATTGTTCCGGAAATTTTAATCATATTTATAAAATTTCCTGAAGACCTCCCATTATTTATGAAGCATCAAAAATTCATGAATTTTTTTTAAACATCATATTCCTTTGAATTCCTTGAAATATCCTGCAATTTTCCTTAAATAAATGAAACTGATATGAAGATCTCTAATCATCTACGAAGTTCCGAGAACTTCCCAAAATATAATAAAACTACCAAAAAATCTATATCTCGCGATTTTCTTGAACATAATCTGATTGTTGCAGAAGTTCCTGCTTTTTTTAGCTGTTCTTTAAACTGCATTGAAACCCATGGAACTCCCTTAAAATGATCTCACATTTCCCTTGGTACTTGGATGAAGTTTCGGAAATTCCCTGAGTTTCTTAGAACTTCTGAAACATTCTTCAATTTCCTTGAAATTAGTTGAACTGTTCTTAGTTTCTCTGATCATTCCTTCTGCTCTCGAAGCATTCCTGAAGTACTCTCAATTCTATTGAAGTTTTTGGTATTACCCTAAATTAAATAGAACTGTAAAAAAAATTCTCGAAGTTTTTCTGAAGTTTATGGAATTGACCGGAATTTATCGGACCTTACCATACAAATCTTCTAACTTCCCTGAAAGTCTGGAATTTCTTGAATTTCACGAAGTTATGAAGTTATTGGAAGTGCCGGTAATATCTTTGAAATTCCCTAAAGCACTCTAGTCTAACTTCTTTGAGGTACTTGGAAGTTCTTTAAAATGTCAATTTTCCTCAAGTTATCTCCACATCTCTGAAATTATTTTGACTTTTCTAAAGTTCTCTGGAGTGTTCACTCGGCTGTCGACAAAAGCAGGCCACTCTCGATGTGTGCTACGCGATCGTCTGTTTACTCGGCAGCAACCATTGTGTGGTCCTCCTCATTGTTCTTCATCAGCAGTTCTTTCGGTCGATGCGTCGTCGACTTTGAAAAGCAACCGTTTCGTGATGAGTGTGTGAGTGCTGACCACGTTTTGCGTCCATTGCTGCAATGGACGCGCTCTGACCCTCGTTGGCGTACAACAATTTGCCATACAATGAAACTACTGGAAGCGGCTCCAGTTCTGATGGAGGAGGCTTTTTGGATAGCAGAAGATAAAGTGTTTATTGTGTTGTACCTTTTGACTATAGCTTTAAGATGTATTGTATAGTGACCATGAATCCTCGGCTCTGTTAAGTTAATTCGGTTGAGCCTTATCAAATAAATTAAAATAAAAAAAAAAAAAAAAGTTCTCTGGATATTCCTGAATTTCTCAAATTTTCTTAAAAGTTCCTGCAGTTTCCTGATGTTTTTGGAACTTCTTTGAAAATCCTGAAGTTTGCCTGAAGTTCACCAAAATATCCAGAAGTTTTCGGAACTTACCTTTTGTTCCCACAGTTTGCCTATAAAACTTTCTGAAATTCTCAGTACTTCTTTCCATTCACTCTCCTGCAGATCTCTATTGTTTCCTAAAGTTTACGGAACTTCCCTTATGATGTTCCTGGAATTGTTCAGAAATGAATGGAACTGCCCAGAAGATTTTTAAACTTCCCTTTAAACATGGATCTTATGTGTAGCTTTCTTAATGTTTTTAAGTTCATTCCCTGAAGTTTTTTTTTATAATCCTTAAATTTTCGGAAATTCTTGATGGTTTCCTCTATTTTACTGAAATGAATGGAACTGCCAGAAAGTTCTCGAAACAAACCTAAAGTTTTACGAACGTCCCTCAAGTTCTCACAGTTTTCCTGATATTCATGGAACTGCCCTAACATTTTCAGAACTTACCCGAAGTTCACGTAACTTACTCATAGGTCTTTATGCTTAAATTTTCCTGAATTTAATGGAACTGCCCTGAAGCTTGATCTTAGCTGAAGTAAATTATCCTGAAATCTATTAGATTGCCCTGGAGCTGTCAAAACTTACTCTTAAAGATTTTTTAACATCCCTTCCATTTCTATCAATCAGAACTGCTTAAAGGTTTCACCTTTTTTTTTTTGATACATTCACAAGCTAAAATAAGTAAAAAGAAGATCGATATTTCGATCATTTTTACGAATTGACCACTTTTATGGATGTTCCGGATCTCCCACAGTTCGTGACCACCAGTGTGCACATGCTGGTCCCAGATTCAAATTCATTCAAGTGATTTAAAAAATCGCTGGGCTATTCAGATCTTCCGGAGGACCGTTTCTTGAGTACCTGGGTCTGTAGTTGGATCTTAAACTTCAATCTTCAGTCTTCGTTGTTAGGTATATCAATATTGTCTAAAAAAACAATCACGAAACTCTGTGATCAATTTCAGTTCGAAGTTCGACGAAAAGTTTAGCAACCATCGAAAACGTAAATTCACAGTCGTGATAACAACGACCGGTACCTAAACAAGTTGCTAACTAAAATAGCAATGGCTAAAGTTGTCAAATTAGCAGCCCGTATAACAACGCATTGGTGCGGGTGCTCTAAGTTGAGAGCACGCAATAAGATAATATGCGATATGAAGATGACTTGATATAGAATCGATTGAGCTTGGTGCAGCAATATCGTTATGCTTGGAATTCCTGATCATTGAAGTTTCTATGTTTTGAAAAGTGTGTCAGTTGGACAAGACAGGTCTGGCATATAACAGTTTGGTCCAAAAAGTCTACACTAAATGGCACCAGAGGGTACATCATGTTCGTTTAATGATAACTCAGGCCTGCGGCTAGATTCTATCTTGAGCAAAGTTGTTCAGCAAAAGAAGATTCATCTGTTAGGCAACAGTAATGTTCAAAGGTTGCACTCTACGCGGCATTAGAATATGAATAAGATTACAATTTAGCAACGATAACTTAGGCCTTTGACTAGATAAAACATTCCTATCGTGGGCAAAGTTCATCAACCTTCCGCAGACAGAAACCTTTAATCTCATTTTGGCATACATCTTGAAAACAGTAAATTTACTTACTATTAACTTCCCCCCTCACACTTCCAGAAAAGTGGAAACCCTCCAAGGTGTCCCTGGACGATCTGTTCCGCGCGTTGCAAGTCGCTCTGGAAGCTGGCATGGATGAACCCCGTACGCAGCTGAACGGTGCCATTGTCATCCTGGACATGGACGGCCTGTCGTTGTCGCACATTGTCCAATTTACGCCCCGCTTCGCAGCCATGGCTGTCCAGTGGGTCCAGGAATGTACGGCCATACGTCTGAAGGCGGTCCATGTCGTTAACAATTCCTACCTGTTCAATATGCTGTTTACCATCTTCAAACCATTCCTGTCGGACAAGCTGAGAAAGAGAGTAAGTCCCTGGAAATGGTCAACAAGTGGCTTGTGATGCTGAAAACCCCTTTTGTTTTGTTTCAGATAAAATTCCACAACAAAGACTGGAAGTCATTGACCTCGGACGTTGATCCGGCTTGCCTGTGGCCACGCTATGGCGGTACACTGGATGTTGAGGAATATGATGGACGGTTGATTGGAGAATTGCTGACATATTACCAAAAAGAGTATGAAGGTACAGTTTATCAGTGCAATCTTTACTGCTTATTTAAATTTTAATTCTCACTCTTTTTTTTATTATGTAGAGGCCAATTCGTACGGATATACCAAAAAAGTGTAACATGACGCACATCGGTTTAATGGGTACTTAAGAATTTGTATTTAGAATATATCTATATTTCGTAAAGCAAGCGCTATTTATTGTGATAAAAATTAGTATTTTATATGGAAACAGAAGCATTCGTTTTAAAATTAGTGTTTTTATGTAGATACTGGAAAATTGTACAAACAGTTGGTAGGATATTTGAAATAAATCAATAGGGGTATTCACTTAGCGCATCGTTAGTATGTGTACTACCGTAAAACTACCAGTGTTCATTGGAATATAATGGATGTTTGCGCGATTACGATGGTCTACATGAATACCCTTTCTAATTCTCTAAAGTCTTTCGATGAACTATTATTACTAGAACTATAGGTACGAACCGATTACGTAAATTCGGTAACAATAGTTTTATTGAGCATCTATCATCATTTTACACTCAAGCATTTTTTTTTCGATTCATTTATTTGAATGCTTCAATCGCGGGAGCTTCACGGAGCCTTGATTTCTTTTGTGACATTACTCATGATTGTCTAAAAACTAGGTCTAGTAGGAGTTGGACCAAATACTCCCGACTTCCTAGAGGCTAGAGGAATACATTGTTGAAGAATGCGATTAGACGATGCGCATAGCGATACGGTTACATGTTCCCGGACAGTTGTCATCAGTAAGCAAACAGTAGTGCAGTATATTCAGGTTTTCGATAATTTTGCAGTGATTATGCACACTGGCAAAAAACTTCAAATTTAATTAAAGAGCAATCGTTCTACACTTTGGGCACTAGATGCACTTCCAATGCGGGAACGGGAAAAAAAACGGGAATGCGCAGCTATATTATCAAAACTATTCGGATCAACACCAAAACAACAGTGACCAAATGGGCACCATAGCCTAGGAACGTCTGTGTGCTGATTTAAAATAGAGGCTCATAGAAGAAAAATTTACCAATAAAAGACGTCCAGCGTAGTGTTTAAGCAAGGGTATGCTGCCACTGTGATCACTAAAAAAAATATCCACTCGTTCTTGAGATATACGGCATAGCGAGGTTCCCGCACATCACATAACATATATGGAACTCGATTATTAAAAATCGACCCCATTTCAGTGATTTCAAGTGGTTCGATGTGTCAAACTGATTATACCAGCTGTAAAATGAGAAACGAGATCAAGGGGTAGTCAATTCAATTAAATAATTCTAACGTAGTTTATGATTCTATGTCTTCTCAGCACTCTTGAACGCATGTCTTTGTATTGCCTTTATCATGTATACGTTCTTTATTTATAATTCAGACGCATCATCTTGCTTCACACACAATAACATAAAATAGCGTTTGCATAAAAAAGTAGACATTTTTTAGAGATTTTTTAAGCAATGACCTGTCACTTAAAAATGTTATTCCATTTGCAAGAATTTTGCGAGAAGGACAAATGAAATCGAGCGCTTATCGATACCTGTAACACCCAAGGTTTCAAACATCTCTATGTTTCTCAATTGCGTACAATGGAATGTTTCTGCTCAAATCCCAAGACAAATATCTACGGTGGAGTTTTAACCAGACCCAGGAGACAATTTCTAGATCCTCATTCTAGTTCCCTATTATTTGCCACTGAGAAGCTGTTCCGAAGCCAAGTAGAACCTCCACGAGGCGTTCCATCATTCGTCCCAACATTCGTTGAGTCGCACCTGGCCACGAAAAGGCTTGCTAATGCACATAAAAAATCGACTACATACATCCGAACATTTGTTTATCTCAAATCTAAGGAAGACATTTCACGCAACTACCATAAATCGGACTAGTTCACGTTGATCTTCGTCAAGCTTCGTCAACAATTTGGAATTCTACATCAACACATGTCAGGCAGCCTTCAGGTTCAATTGGCTAAATTTGGTGAGTTCGTTCCTTTTAGAATTTTTTTATCTTTTCAAACCAGTAACGTTGGGAGATCACCTTTGTGTGGTGCGTTACTGGTATAAGATCTACCACCGAACCCTAGCCGTGACAACTTCAAACTAGGGTATCAGGATTTTCCAGTAATCAAAGGATCACATTTTAGTCCTTGTTACTTTTTAAGACTTGATAATAGTGACAAGACTCGGGTAGTGACCACCGCGCCGTTATGCATTTCTATATTGTAAATTTCAAATCAAATATATTGTTTAAAGGGTGATACCGTCAAAATTTGGTCAATATCAACTTAACGTATTTCTTTCAATTTTGCATTTAAAAAACCTGAACACCCCTCATTTTGAAGGTGTGTGTGTGTGTAGAATGTTGCTCCTATTTTGATTTTGGAATTCACTCTTCAGTTGTCAAAATGCCGTCCAAGCAAGAAGAGCAGCGTATCAAAATTTTGCTCGCGCATCGCGAAAATCCGAGCTACTCGCACGCAAAGTTGGCAAAATCGCTAAAAGTTGCCAAATCAACCGTTACAAATGTTATTAAAGTGTTTGGGGAACGTTTGTCGACAGCCAGGAAGTCTGGATCGGGGGGAAATCGAAAACCGGAAGCCGCTGAGACGACAAAGAGAGTTGCCGGTAGTTTCAAGCGAAACCCTAACCTCTCTCTCCGAGATGCCGCAAATAAGCTGGGTGTATCGTCTACAACCGTGCATCGAGCCAAAAAACGAGCCGGACTATCGACTTACAAGAAGGTAGTGACTCCAAATCGCGATGATAAACAAAATACGACGGCCAAAGCGCGATCCCGGAGGCTGTACACGACGATGCTGCGTGGTAATGGACGACGAAACCTACGTCAAAGCCGACTACAAGCAGCTTCCGGGACAGGAGTTTTATACGGCAAAAGGAAGGGGAAAGGTAGCAGATGTTTTCAAGCACATGAAACTGTCAAAGTTCGCAAAGAAATATCTGGTTTGGCAAGCCATCTGTACCTGTGGCTTGAAAAGCAGCATTTTCATAGCTTCCGGGACTGTCAACCAAGAAATTTACGTGAAATAGTGTTTGAATAAACGTCTGCTGCCTTTCCTGAAGAAACACGGTTGTTCCGTACTGTTTTGGCCGGATTTGGCATCTTGCCATTACGGTAAAAAGGCCATGGAGTGGTACGCCGCCAACAACGTGCAGGTGGTTCCCAAGGACAAGAACCCTCCCAACACGCCAGAGCTCCGCCCAATTGAGAAATACTGGGCTATCGTCAAGCGGAACCTAAAGAAGACCAAAAAAACTGCTAAGGGCGAGCAGCAGTTCAAGGCAAACTGGCTTTCTGCGGCGAAGAAGGTGGACAAGGTGGCTGTACAAAATCTGATGGCAGGGGTCAAGCGTAAGGCCCGGCAATTCGGATTTGGAAAAGCGGAAGCCTAACTGAATATTTTTCCTGAATTTTATACTAATTGAACTTGAAAAAGAAATTTAATTTGATTTTTTAAATAAACGATTTCACCGATTTACACGCGTTTTCCCTTGACCAAATTTTGACCGTATCACCCTTTATGTTCATAGATTTCACATAATCCTTTTCCCTTTGTCCTTCTCCTTTTCCTTTCCCTCTTCTCTATTCAGAAAGCGAGTAATGGCTTATAAAAAGCTAGGACAAGAGTTAGTGCTCATGCCCCAACCGTCAGAAGAAAATGGAGCATCACTTAACCTTTCTAGCTTTGATGCTTCCAACGACCAACCAATCCTATAATTACCAAAATCGGAACGTACGGTACGAGATGTCCACGCTTCATCCATTTATTCGATTCTAAAGCATCGTGTTTTAATCTTCGATTTAAACAGGCCCGATGTTTTCTGAATCATCTTGCCCCTTAAATGCTGCACAGAGGCCTGGCC